AAAATTACCGATAAACATAATCTCCCATGTTCTTCTCAAATGTATCACACCTAAGTTAATGGAGGGCCAGTTCCTAAGGCCAGACAAGGCGAACTGCCTGCCTCCAGCATTCCCCAACCTCCAAGAGTATTGCAGCCTGATAGGCATTCCCTCCCGTAAGCTGGTGGTCAACTGTAGTTCAAAGCCAGCGTCCGAATCAGGCTGTCTCTAACAGGGAATCTACTTTCTGACAGGCGCAAACCCCTCCGCCCTCTGATGATTGCCAGGCAGGATTTGGGGACGAAGTACCCCCTCATTGTCACCTGGCGGATTTGGCCACAGCCCACAAACCAAACGCACGCCCTACTTATGAACAGCGCAGAGAATCAACAAGTTATCACTAAGCTGCGAGCCCCAGCTAGGATCTGCCACAGCCTTTCCTGAGCCCACCACTGTTCCCCATCAGCTCTGCTCTTTCCTCCCCTCCCCACCCCCTGCAAGCACGTGACCTCCGGTTTCAGACACGGCCCCCACCCCAGGGCTCCCGGCGCTCCCAGGCAGCTGTCGAAGTCCGGGGTTCGCCGGCTTTCAGGCTCGCCTGACCGAGTCAGGCGTTCGCTTGGATCTAGCTTCCTTCCGGGCGGGAGGTCAAGCTCTTCAAAGGAACAGGGTGGGCAGGGGAGTGGTGCCAGGTTAGGCTCCTCGGTCCTCGGGAGCCAGAGCGAAGTAGGAGAGGTAGCGGGGAGCCTGACATCCCGCGCTTCTTCCAGACCCCGCCGCTGACCCGGAGGGCACGCGTTCCCCGGGGAGCCAGAACCGCCCTGGGGGAGCCTGAGGAGTGTCAGCGGGGCCTTCCTTGGAGCGTACAAGTTTCCACTCCATTCCCGAGCTGGGAGTTGGCAGACAAGTCACAGATCGGCTCCCTACTTGAAAGCACCGCCGCTGATCCTTCCCTCCCCCTCACCCCCCACCTCGCCAGGCAGGAGCAGACACCTGCTTGTCCCCGCGGCGCGCCAGCGCCCTGCTCGAGCCGTCCCTGGACCAGAGCTCGAAACTCACCCACTGCGCTCCCATCCCGGCACAGACAGCCCTCAAAGTTGTCCGTACTCCCCAGACCTCGCCTTCTGCTTGGCCCCCGGACCCCACCCAGGGGTTGGGCCGGCGTCCGCGGGTGGACCTCTCTGGTCCGCGGCGCATGGACCTGACTTCGGGGATCCAGGGCGCACAGAGGCCACAGAAGCTGCGGCAAGGGAGGGTGGGCAAATCCAGCGTGAGCCCGGGTCCTTGCCGCTTTCACCCTCAAGCCTGCCCTGCCTCCCTCCTGGGAGAAGAGCAAACTTCCCCAGCACCCACCTTTAGCCGCGAAGAGGCGGCGCTGCCGGCTGTCCCCGCCACCGCCGCTGCCGCTCCCCA